TGCCCAGGCGGGTCTCGAACCCATGGGCTCAGGCAATCCACTCACCTCAGCCTCCCAAAGGCGCGGGATTACAGGCTGAGTCACCGAGCCTGGCTTCTCTCTTTTCTTAATATCCAGTCATTTTACTTCAGGACAAAACTTTATCATACACTTTTTTTTATATATAAAATTATTTTTTATGACCTATTTTACTAAAAATTTATTTTAATACTCACACCACTTTTTCTACATTTCTCTCTCTCCTACTTACTATTTTTAAAAAAAACTTTTAAAATAAATAACCTTTAAATAACTTGTAGATTACATAAAATAACCTTAAATATTAAGGAAAACCTAGAAAGCAAGAAATTCTGAATTGTTTGTTAGTTATCAGCATTTTATAGATGAGATCCTTTACAAAATTTAGAAACATGTTTTTCCATAGCATAACCCTTTCTTAATTGGAAGTGACCCAGACATTTAATAAACTTCTAAAAATAATTTTAAGCTTTGAAGTCACATAAAAAACTTACCTGTAAGCATTATTTTATTTATATTTACTTAATTTATTGTTTTTAGCAGTTTGTTTAATTACTTATGAAAACTGAGATTTTAGATAAGCTAGTCATCATTTTAAGTTAGCTCTTGGTCAATTATTTTTAAAGTCTATGAATATAAGGTGTTACCTAAGTAAGAAACTTAAAGTTAAATATATGGGTATTTTACCATGAACTCAGAAGATTTAGTTGTTTTCATTGAACCAACAATCTTACATTAGTTTTACTTACCTAAAAAAAATTTATACAAATCAAGATTATTCTGGTCTTGCCTAGGTTTGTAGTCTTATGAGTCTTGAGCCAAATCTTGATACTTTAATGTATCCAGCAGAGGCAAATGCAAATCTTATCTAATTAGTAGACCCAGACAAAAAGCACACCAACAACTTCAAAGGCACTTTTACTTTATCAATTATTACAAAGTCATTTTCATTTGCCAAAGATTATTAAAGTCACATGAAATTGGAAAGCATTTAGATTTATTTATTTATTTAATCTGTGAGTACTTATTTACTTATAAGCCAATTTGGTAGCATGCTAGACAGAACACATAGCATGCACATATATGTAAACATATTTAAACATACACATATGCACATAAACAAAGATCCAATAGCCTTTACTTCTGAATTCTAACCATGAAATAGTAATATAAATTCACCATTTTACAGGAGATACCCAAGTCCAAATTATTATTTCTGACAAAATTGAAATCTGTTTGTTTAAACTTTGTTTTATTTGATAGACAATTCAATAAAGGTTATGGACCAAAACTGGGGTAAAGCAGTTTTTATGGCAGTTTAATTTTTAAAAATTTATTTTACTTCTTTTTTAGTTGTAAATAAGCTTTTAATGTTTACATTTTAGTTAGAACTGGCTGAACTGTATAAACAAAATCTCAACTAACCTTGTAACTGAGTTTATCTCAACACCAGTACCAGAAAATTCAAAGCAGGCAGAAAAGAGAGAAATAGAGAACTTAAGACTTATTTAACCCTGTAGCTGCAGGTTAACCATCTGAAATTTTTGTGTTGTAATTTGCTCATAAGCTTTAAAATATGCACACCAATAGGCCTTTAATAGTTAATCAGTTATAGAAAATCTGGCATGCTTTTGAACATAAAACAAACAGTGAAACCAAAGGAGGAGACTGGTCAATGACTGAAGTTCCAGAGGAGAGAAAGTGAGGGATTGGTGGTTGAGCCTGGTCTCAGGGTTTAAGATAATGTGATGAGCTGGGCTCGGTGGCTCAGCCTGTAATCCCGTGCTTTGGGAGGCTGAGGTGAGTGGATTGCCTGAGGCTGCGGGTTCGAGACCCGCCTGGGCAACTTGGCGAGACCTCATCTCTATAATAAATCAAAAAGTAGCCGGGCGTAGTAGTGCACGCCTGTAGTTCTGGCTACTTGGAATGCTGAAGCGGAAGGATCATTGGAGCCCAGCAGGTCGAGGCTGCGGTGGCCGGGAGTGGCCGCTGCACTCCAGTCTGGGCAACAGAGTGAGTTGGAACTCAAAAAAAAAGATAATGTGATGGGTCGAGAATGTGCTGCTAATGGAGATCTCCAGTTGGCTGTGACACCAACTGTCATCTCGTTTCCTCTTACTGTCTGGGATTTCCTGTTGAATGCCAGAGGCAATCAAGGGGCCCTGGAACACTGGATGACCAATGTCACTTATTTGTGTCCCCCAGACAGGACATGATTCCCAGACAAGATGTTTGTGATGTTCCCTATGAGGCCTTTATATGTCACAGGGACAACTCCCCTGACACCTTCGTGAGACCCTTAGTCACCTGAGAGTGCCTGTTTTCACAGTCGGATGGGAAGAGTGCCTCTTATCTTTGACTTGGACTGGAGCCCAAGTTGAAAATGGGGAGGGACTTCCTTTGTGCAGGGTTTTGCCACCAACTCTTGCACATACACAGATATATATACGAGCATAGGCTGGGGGGTCAGGGAAAGGAAAGAATGTACACTTTTAAATTCAAGTGGCTTTGTATTCAGCACTGACTTAGAAAGAAAAGCTGTTTTTTTTTTAAATACAAGTTTTTGAGTCTTTTCTGAATGACTGTTTATTTAATATAACCAAAATGGCCTCTTTTCAGCCTGTAGCAATAGGGTATGAGCACCTCCAAATTTACTAGATATTGCCCAGTCACTCTCCAAAGCCGATGTGCCAGTTTGTACTCCCACAAAGCACAAGTAAGGGTCCCTGGGGCACTCCACTTCACCAACACTTAGGGCTGCAGCCTCAGCATTTTTGCCAGTCTGACGGGTACCCTCCTGCTTCGGTCCTCTTAGGTGACTGCAAACAAGAAGATAGAGCAGCTTAGACAAGAATACATGGAAATGAAGGCTCTCATTGATGCCTCAGAGGCCACTTCCACACGGAAGATAAAGGAAGAGGAGAAGAGGGTCAACAGCAAATTTGACACAATTTATCAGATTCTTCTCAAGAAGAAGAGTGAGATTCAGACGCTGAAGGAAGAGCTTGAGCTTGGCCTGACCAAGGGGGACGAGTTTGAGTTTCTGGAGGTAGGTCGTGATGAGGACTTTGTGAACACTCTTTGTGGAGTGTCTGGATGCTGATTATAGGGGCAGTGGCTGGGGAGGGGATCACGGAGCTGGGGCTATAAGAGGTCCCTGGAAGACTCTCTGAGACATGCTGTGCTAGTTTTTTTTTTTTTTTTTAGCTGGGCAACAACTTACTACAAACTTATGGACTTAAGAGAACATTTATTTATTATCTCAGAGTTCCTCTGGCTTAGGAATCTGGGCCTGACTTTGTGGGTTGTCTGTGTCGGGTCTTACAGGGCTGCCATTTGGGGGACTACTGGGCTGTACTTCTTTTTTTTTTTTTTTTTGAGTCGGAGTCTCACTCTGTCGTCCAGACTGGAGTGCAGTGGCCGCTCCCGGCCACCGCAGCCTCGACCTGCTGGGCTCCGGCGATCCTTCCGCCTCAGCCTTCCGAGTAGCCGGAATTACAGGCATGCGCTACCACGCCCGGCTGAATTTTTTATTTATTGTAGAGATGAGGTCTCGCTGCCCAGGAGGGTCTCGAACCTGCGGCCTCAGGCAATCCACTCACACAGCTTCCCAAAGGTGCGGGATTACAGACTGAGCCACCGAGCCTGGCTTGGGCTGTACTTCTTTAAAGATTAAGGTTGTCTTCCAAGCCCTCGTGTGTGTTGGCAGAATTCAGTTCCTTATAGTTGTGGGACTAAGGTCCCCACTTTCTTGCTGGCTATTTCTCAATTTGGTAGCTTAAGTCTTCAAAACCAGCAGGATAATTTCCCTCTTTAGGGAAGACCTGTTTCCTCTTTTAAGGGCTTTTACCGAATTAAGCCAGGCCTACCCAGGATAAATGTTCTTTTGATTAACTTAAAATCAACTGATTTGGAATTGTAGTTACACCCGCAGCATTCCTTCCCCTTTGCCATATAACATAACCTGATTGCATTCATCATCTCACTCATACTTGAGGGGAGGGGCTTATATAGGGTGTGTACACCCTGAGGGTGGACACTTGGGGCTATCTTAGAATGGCCACCACACACACCTCCACTTTCTTCCTCCCATGGCTCTCAAAAGTGTTTTTCTTTTTTTTTTTTTTTGAGTTGGAGTCTCACTCTGTCGCCCAGACTGGAGTGCAGTGGCATGCTCCTGGCCACCGCAGCCTTGACCTGCTGGGCTCTGGCGATCCTTCCGCCTCGGCCTTCCAAGTAGCTGGAACTACAGGCGTGCGCTACCACGCCCGGCTAATTTTTTGATTTATTGTAGAGATGAGGTCTTGCCAAGTTGCCCAAGTTGGTCTTGAATCCGCGGGCTCAGGCAATCCAGTCGCCTTGGCCTCCCAAAGCGTGGGATTACAGACTGAGCCACCGAGCCTGGCTGTTTTTCTAAAGCACACACCCCTGCCCTTCCTGCCTTCATGTTCCTTTGTGTGGCCCACAAGGGCCTAGTGATGGGGCCCTGTATTTGTCAGCAGCCTCATCTCTTCCCACCCACCCCCGGCCCATTCCCTGTGCCCTGATTACAGCAGGGCACTCAGCATTCCCCAGACACAGTGGGCATTGGGTGGGAATGCCCAGCCTGATCCTGACTGCCTAGGGAATTGTGTCCTTGCAGGATCTTGGTCTCCATTGCTATGCTGCTGTTGGTGTTCCCAAGCATTTACAACGCCTCTACGGTAGCTCAGGGTAGTGGTGTTTCAGATGTGCTTGTCTTTATGTCCGTTATGGCTGTAAGCCCAGTCCATAGTATCACCCTTATTCCTCCAGCCAGTTAGATCAGCACACAGCAGAAGGCGTGGCATGCAGCAGGGTGCAGGAGTGACTGGCAACCTTCTCCTGTCTGTGCATGTGCCCCTCATTCATGCCTGGGTTGGATGGCATTCAGTGGCATCCCAAGTGCATGTTCCTGTTGGAGCAGCTGACTTGAGCTCTCTGAGAAGGATTCTGAGTCCACATTGGCCTCTTGATACTGCATAATCCTATTTTGTCTCAAAATGTAGGGCCTTCAAGAAGACCCTCCCTTCTCACAGGACGTACTGGGGCTGGATCCCAAATCCCTTGAGATGTCCCTGGCCGTTTGTAGACCACATGCCCAGAGCTGTTCCCTAGGATGGTCCCGAGTCTTCTGTGCTTTTCCAGCCACAGCTGGAGGAGTAGGAAGAACACTGTCCCTGACTCCGGAGGCCTTAGCCCCAACGGTGTCTATGCCACTAACCAGCAAGAGTTCCTGGTAGGCCACTTGTCACCTGTCGACCTGTTTCCCCATCTGTAAGATTAGCAACCTCTGAGGTCCCTCCCAGCTTCAGATTACTGTGTCTCCAAGTGGCACTTTAATGTGGGAAGACTTCTGGCCTGTCATTTGACAAGGCTGACTAGACTTAGCGCCCATGAGCATGGGGAAGGTCTTCCTGGGGCTCGTGAGGACTGAGCCCAGTCCTGGTTTCACTGGAACTGCCTGCACTAATCCCTGGCTTGTTCCAGAAAGCGTCAAAACTGCAAGAAATCTCCACGAAACCAGTCTACATCCCTAAGGTGGAGCTGAATCACGAGCTGATCAAGGGCGTCCACCAGAGCGCCTTACACCTCAAAAGTGAACTGAAGTGTTGCCTCAGGCATCTCCAGGAGCCCGGCTCAGGTAGCTGTTAGCAGCTCCCCACACTGCCCCCTACAGAACCCTGAAACCTGATGAATCCCCTTGGCGTTTTGGGGTGGGAGCGGGGCATGGCCCAGAGCACTGGGACCTGAGTTTCAGAGCTCCTGAAGCACCCACCCTCCACCTGGGGAGTAGTAGGGCACCTGCCTCATCCTGGTATGGCATCCTTCCCAAAATGTATGGGGGCTTGATGTTTTGTTGGGATTTTCTGGACACAGATTCTTGCTGTCCGGGATCTTGAGGCCAACTTGGGTGGGTTTTGAATGGACTCTAGGTTGTCATTGTGTTTGGTGAGTGACTGCTAGTTTGAGGGAGAAACCTGGAATTCCTTCTGGACACCCCCTGTCCTTCACCCTATATCCAAACCATTGCCACATTTCACTTCTCTAAATCTCTTGACTCAGTCTGCTGGCCCCAGTGCCACTTGCCTGTCCTCTGTTGCTATCACCTGTGCCCCATGACTGTGGCAGCATCCTGAATGGCCCACCTGCGTCTACTGCTGCAGCCAGAGAGAGCATTTCAGAATGCAGATCTCGTCTCCTGGGACTATTCCCCTTCACCTCCTTAATGGGCTCCACATTACTCATAGATACAGATGAGGTCCTTGACCTTGGGTCAGGCCCTTTAGTCTCTCCAGCCCTGAGGTGCCCTCCACCCTCCTCTTGGGCATCTCTCTGCATTTGGTTCCTCAAATATGCCAAGCTTCCTGCCACAGGGCCTTTGTATATGCTCTTCTCTACTGCCTAGAAGACTTGAGATCCACCATCTCCCCCAGTTAACTCCTCTCACCCTTCAAAAAGATCCTCAAAGCACAACATTTCCCAGCCAGCCTCTCCTGCCACCACTCCCACTTCTTAGGCTGGGTCCTAGGCTCCTTATTATCCCCTCAAGGCCCTTTGCACATGAGACATTTCACTCTTCCTTGTAATCCCTGTCTGTCTTTCTTACTAGTTGAGCACAGGGGCTGTGTCTGGTTTCTGTTCAGCACTGTTCCCCCAGTACTGAGCACAGAGCCTCGCCCATAGTAAATCTCCATTGTGTCATCCAGCCTGGCTGACCAAGTGACCTTTCAGAAGGAATTCAGAAATAGGTGGCGATGTGGCCCCATTGTGGAAGTAGGGGAGAAACTCTTGATGGCGGGTATGTGGGAGGAGGGGAGAGGAAGACCAGTGGGAAAGGAACAAGCGTTGGCAGAGCCTATACTACATGCCGGGCACCTCTGTCTCATTCAGGGGTCACATCAACCAGCAGCAAGGTGGGAGTATCCCCACTGCACACACGAAGAAACCCAAGCTCAGAGAGGTCTCAGAGGTCACAGAGCTGGGTGCTGGTGGAGAAGAGATTTGTACCCTAGCTCCATCGTAAGCCAGAGATAAAAGGGCACACACCAAAGCAGTCCTTCTGTTACCTTGTTGGTAGTTCTTATACGTAATTGGATAGGGAAGGTCGGTAGAAATGGCTGACTAAGGAACCCTCCACCCACCTGCGTGCCCAGGGAAAAACTGGCTTCTAGGGTTAGTGTGGAGGAGCCACACATGCTGAGCCCTTCTTCTCTGGCACAGGTGACCCTGAAGAGCATGAGCCAGCATCCACACAGAAGCCTTCACGCCCCACGAAGAAGGTCTCAAGTAAGTAGCTCACCTCTGTTCCCATGACAACAACATGGCTGTGACTGGCTGGAGCTCTAGCTGAGACACTCACAGGGCATCCCAAGTCACTGCAGGGAGCTGGGCATCAGCTGGAGAAAGTTGGCTGCAGACTCCATGGAGGGGGTTGAAGGGCTAGTGCGAGAGCTCCCCTGGGGCCCTTGGGAGGACTTGTCCACCAGCACTGCATATTTGGGCTGCCTGGAACAGCAAGATTAGTGAAGCTGGTTTGTTTTGAGGAATATGTATTACACCCAAGTCCTGGCACTTGGGTAGAGTTCCCAGAGGAGACTGGCGGATGAGCAGAGGCCTCTTTGGTAGCTCAGTGGTGTTCAGTCTTTGAGTTGCAGTGTGTTTCTGTATTTCTCTGCCTTTTTTCTTTCCTTTTCCTTTCTTTCTTTCTTTCTTTCTTTCTTTCTTTCTTTCTTTCTTTCTTTCTTTCTTTCTTTTTTTTTTTTTTTGAGTCAGAGTCTCACTGTTGCTTAGGCTGGAGTGCAGTGGCACGATCACAGCTCACCATAGCCTTGACCTCCTGGGCTCAGGCGGTCCTCCTGCCTTAGCCTTTGAGTGGCTGGGACTACAGACCTCCTCAACCAGGCCCAGCTAATTTTTTGATTTTTTTGTAGAGATGACATCTTGCTATGTTGCATAGGCTGGTCTCAGACTACTGGACTCAAGCAGTCCTCCTGCCTCGGCCTTCCAGAGTGCTGAGATTACAGGCGTGAGCTGCCATTCCTGGCTTCAATCTTTTTTTCATTATTGCCCTCCTCCTCTTTCATCCCCTGAGCCATTTTATTTTATCTTTTTTTTTTAGAAAGCAGGATTTATTGAGAGGACAGAGAAACTCCCACAGTGGGAGGGGACCCAGAGGGGTTACCCTTATTTTATCTTATTTTAAAATTTGAGACAGAAAAGACTTTATTTTTATTATTTTTTGGCTCATATAACTTTTATTTATTTTAAATTTTATTGTAGATTCAGGGGGTCCATGTGCAGGTTTGTTACATGGATATATTGCGTGATAGTGAGGTTTGGGCTTATATTGGACCCATCACCCAATTAATGAGCATGGTGCCCTACAGGTAGTTTTTCTACCTTTGCTCCCCTCTCTCCTTCCTTCCTCCCTTTAGGAGTCCCCAGTGTCTGTTGTTCCCATTTTTTTTTTTTTTTTTTGAGTTGGAGTCTCACTCTGTCACCCAGACTGGAGTGCAGTGGCCGCTCCCGGCCACCGCAGCCTCGACCTGCTGGGCTCCAGCGATCCTTCCGCCTCAGCCTTCCGAGTAGCCGGAATTACAGGCATGCGCTACCACGCCCAGCTGGTTTTTTGATTTATTGTAGAGATGAGGTCTCGCTGCCCAGGCGGGTCTCGAACCCGTGGGCTCAGGCAATCCACTCACCTCAGCCTCCCAAAGCGCGGGATTACAGGCTGAGCCACCGAGCCCGGCTTGTTCCCATTTTTATGTCTGTGTGTACCCATTGTTTAGCTCCCACCCTGAGCCATTTTAGACTATTTTTCTTTCTAATCACCACCTATGAAATGTTTAATACCATCCATGCACTGTATAACTGTTTATATTCTGTGCTTTGTACATAAAAGGAGGAAGGTTTTTTTCATTTTGTTTTTAGTCTTTTTTTGAGTCAGAGTCTCACTCTGTTGTCCAGGCTAGAGTGCAGTGGCACGCTCATGCCACCGCAGCCTCCACCTGCTGGGCTTAGGTCATCCTTCCACCTTAGCCTTCCAAGTAACTGGAACCACAGGTGCACGCCTCCACATCTAGCTAGTTTTTTATATTATTTTTATAGAGGCAAGGTCTTTCCAGGTTGCCCAGGCTGGTCTTGAACCCCTGGGCTCAGGGAATCCTCTCACCTTCACCTCCCAAAGTGCTGGAATTATAGGCATAAGCTGCCATGCCCGGCCAGGAGTAAGGTTTTTTTTTTTTAACCTCCCTCCCCCAAGAATCCACTTTTGCCCTCCTGTGGGTGTTATCTCCCTCACTGGGAAGGCATGTGCTGTTGACATGGGGTCTGGGAAGAAGAAGGGTCTCTTTACCTCAATCTGTCACATTTGGATAATAATGATATTGAGCACACAGGATTATTGTGAGTGACGTTCACATGGGACACTGATTATGAAAGCTTTAGGAATCATAAACACGCCACTGAAATGTTAGCTGTTATTGCTTTCCTGAAACGTCAATATGAGCCCAGGAAGGATTCCCTACTCTGCTAGGTACCTGGGGGATCAGAACACTCTGGGCTTATTCTTTGTTGTTTGTTTGTGCTTAGTGTTCAGGTGTCTTTAGCAGACACTGTGTGGTATCAGTCTCTGAGTAAAATGGAGTCAGGGCCGGGGTGCCTGGTATAGATGGAGGAGTCCCTGGCTAGGCTGAAAAGTGTTGGAGCGTTCTTGGCATGAACAGGGACGTGAAAGAGTAAGTGAAGGGTGGGTCCTTCCCCAGTCACCTTTCCCCCGGTGATGGCTGTCACAGGTCACAAACACCACCCTTGGCGTGAATGAGCAGTGGATGCCAGCCATCAGGCACGCACGTTCCCTAGTGAGGTGATGCCCTCCCACCTCAGCAGCATGACACCCTGGAAAATAGCTGGAGCCATGGAAGTTAGATTCAAGAATGATATGAGGCTCCTCTGTGTTGAAAGTGGCTCAAAATAGGCTGAGATCAGGAAACCGGCAAGGAGAGGTGGACTAGTCACAGTGTGGAGAGACGAGAAGGGGTCGGTGTCACAGCCTGGGGCCCTCCAAGATGCTGGTCCACCAGGAGTGGGCAGGAGAGTGTCGCAAAGTGAGGAAATGGGGCAGAGAGTGAACTGCCTCCGAAGTGGGAGGAGGGGTAGCCAGGGGTTTGTGTGGGGTGACGAAGGTGCTAGTGGGGAGGTGGAGGAAAAAAGGAAAGAGCCGGGCTACTCTGTGATATAGAGTGTCCCGCAGGGATGAGATTCAGGGACACACCTTTTCATTCCAGTGGTGGGAAGGTGGCACAGAGGGAACCTGGAATCTTCTAGACCATTTGAGTGTTTTCTTTTTTTTTTTGGATTCACTCAGAGGGCTTGTACACCACAGCTCTTTGGGCTCTACCCCCAGACTTTCTGATGTGTTAGATTTGGGGTAGGGCTCAAGGATTTGCATCTCTGGCTGGGCAAGGTGACTCAGAATAATCCCAGAATTTTGGGACTCCCCTTGGTGTCTCTAGGCAGGAGAATAGCTTAAGGTCAGGAGTTTGAGATCAGCCTGGGCAACATAGGGGAGACCCAGTCTTTATAAAAAATGAAAATAAATAAATGAGTGAATTTGTGTTCCATACAGGTTCCCAGGTGATGCCACTGTGGCTGACTTGGGGCCCATATATTGAGAACCACTGTTTTAACTTAAGTCAGTCCCTGTAAGGCACATACTCCAGATGTTTTTGGGGTTTTTTGGGATTTTTTTTTTGGTCTCACTTTGTCACCCAAGCTGGAGTGCAGTGGCATGATCAGGGTTCACCACAGCCTTAACCTTCTGGATTCAGGCAATACTTCTGCCTCAGCCTCCTGAGCAGCTGGGACTACAGGCCCACACCACCATGCCTGGTTAATTTTTCGATTTTTTTTTTTTTGTGTGGAGACCAGGTCTTGCTATGTTGCCCAGGCTGGTCTCAAACTCCTGGGCTCAAGCTATTCTCCTGCCTCCGCCTCCCAAAATGCATGAGCCATCGCGCCCAGCCATTCTAGATGTTTTTAAAAGACTATTGTGGGCCAGGTGCAGTGGCTCATGTCTATAATCCCAGCACTTTGGGAGGCTGAGGTGAGAGGATTGCCTGAGCCCACAGGTTCAAGACCAGCCTGGGCAACTTGGTGAGACCTTATCTCTACAATAAGTTTAAAAATTGGCCAGGTATGGGGGTGTGTGCCTGTGGTTCCAGCTACTTGGAAGGCTGAGGCAGAAGGATCACCTGAGCCCAGCAGGTCGACGTTACGGTGACCATGAGTGTGATACTGTACTCTAGCCTGGGCAACAGAGTGAGACGCCAACTCAAAAAAAAAAAAAAAAGACTATTGCGGTACTTGGCAAGCACTTTTTTTTCTATTTGATTTTTCTTCTCACTTGCATTTTTTTCTTTTATGGAGATGCAATTTGCCTACAGTAAGTCTTGAATGTACAGTTAGAGAAATTCTGAACAATGCATACTTGTGTTGCCATTTTCCAAATCAAGAAAAAGGATTTCCCTTGCCCCAGAAAATTCCTTCATGCTCCTGATTAGTTAGTCCCTCCCCGCTACAACTGCTGGTGCTAGTTTCTATCACTATAGGTTTGTTTTGCTTGTGAGCCTCTTATATTTTTCAAGTTAAAACGTCCTTTTATTTGTATGGGTCAAATTCATGCAAATGAATGTTACTGTAGTCTTTGGAAAGTATTATTGTGTTGTGCTTTAGAAGTTCTTAATTCCTAAAATTTTCTTTTTCAGAAGACGAAAAGAAAAAGAAACCTTGTAAGTTATACATTTTATACATTTCTGCATCTTATCCAGGTTCTGTGGTGGGGTCTGATTTTATGACTGTGTTCTGTAATGGCAAACAGGCCTGAGCTTGAAAGTGAGGACAAGTGTAAATGATTGAGAGGAAGAAGATGACTGTAGCCCCGTGTGGCTCCTGTGTTGTCCTGGTTATTCAAGTGTGTGTTTGTAGACGTGGCTCTTTACGGTCAGCTTAAAAGGGAGTTGAGGCCATCACATTGCTCCGCGTCACATTTCTCCTTCCTCATCCCCAGCCACTACCCCTGTCTCACCCAGCAAGCTTTCCTTCGGAGTCTCGGAACAGCAAGTGGATTTAATACAAGCTGACCTGGAGGGTGAGTTACTGTGGGCGAGGGGCATTGGGGTGTCCACTCTGAGTTTGTCCTGAAAATTGCTCTCTGTTTCTCTCCCAGCTGCAGCCACGCCTGCATCTCTCAAGGCCAAGGTGCTGGAGACCTTCCTAGCCAAGTCCAGGCCCGAGCTCCTGGAGTGTGAGTAGCTTGGGTACTGGGTGCGATTTTGCTGACTCTGCCTTCTCCGTGCAGCTCTGTGCCACGCCTTGCCCTTGGCCCTGTCCCGAGGCCCTCTTCACCAGCAACCTGTCTTCTTCTCTGTCTCTTTCGTTGCCCAGGTGATCTTCCCGCCTCGGCCTCCCAAAGTGCTGGGATTACAGGTGTAAGCCACTGCCCCCAGCTGTCCTCTTCTTTGTAGCTCCCTTGTTTTCTCCCTTTTGTCAATACCTGCCTTTCTTTTTCTAGCCAGCTCAGATTCCACAATTGGTCCTTCCAATCTCCCTCTTGCTGTCCCATCTGGCTAAACTGAGCTCACTTCTCCCTCTGGGCCCACACCTGCAGCCAACTGCTGTGTCCGAGATGTCCCCTGCAGAGCAGGTGGGGCCTTGTGGTCACCAGCCTTCACCTGGTGTCCCATTGCTGGCACGCCTCTTCTGCTTCTCCTGTCCCCTCCCTGTCACTCTCTAGCGCCACCATTCCCAATCCTTCCTCTTGCCGTTACCGCAGACTTCTCCCTATCTGCTCATCATCTGCTTCACTGAGAAGAGAGCCCAGAAGGGGACTTCTCCATCCTCTGTCATTTTCATCTCCCCTGTATCCACCCTGCCTCCCTCCTTGCCTCCCGCCCTCTTCCCAAAGCTGGGCCCTGATCCTGGACTCTGGAACCCATGCCCCCTGCTGTCTCTGGAATCTTCTGCCCTTACTTCGGCCTTCTTACCCCCGTCTCTTCGCCCTCTCAGTCTCTACGAGGGCCTATTCGTCCTTGGCATGTTTAAATTTTTCTAAATCACAAAACAAAACCACCAAAACTTTCTTGGCTGCAGCTGTTTCCCTTTCACCTGAACACTTGTTAAAAACACAAATTCCTGGGCCCTGGTCCAGCCCTGCAAGCTCAGCCTCCAGGCGAGCGTGACAAGCTATATTTCACTCATTTCCTTGGCAAACCTTCTGAGGAACGTCTGCAGACACTCCACTGGTGGTTTTCAACTGTGGCTGCAAACTCAGCTACCCATCTATTCCCCCTTGAGAGCTTCTTGAAATTTCCAATGCCCAGACGGCACCCCAGACTGGTTTGGTCAGAATCTCAGTGTTTTTTTAAAAGGTGCCCAAGGGTTGCCGTGTGTGGCCGAGGTGAGAGCCAGAAGTCTCATCCTCATCCTACTGCAATCTGACCTCTGTCCCTGCCCTTGACTGAGGCAGTCCTCACGGAAGTCAGCAGTGGCCTCTCCATCCTAAGCTTTTATTCAACTTCCCCTCTTAGTGGTGTTCTTCCTCCTTGTGACACTCTCTCCCCTATCTCTTGAGCCACCACGTCCCCCTGGGCTTCTACCCACTCCTCTGGTCATTGCTTCTCAACCTCCTTTGCAAGCTCCTCTGACCTGGAGGTGAATGGAGTTACATCTTCAAGGCTAGGCCAAGAGAACTCCCGCAACCCCCTCCCCGCCGCCGCCATCTCTCTTTCTGCTTCATCTGTGCCCAGATCCTTTCCTGTAGCACCCTCCAGCTGTACCCACTTCCACGCAGTGGCCAAAACCCATCACTGAAAAATGTACCTCTGTTCCTTCCTTCTCTGCAGCTGTGGTGGGCTGGGTGGGGATCTGTGGGTACCTTGGTTTCTCAGGGCTGGCCTCCCTGGAGACCCCTGCTGTCCCTGGCCTCCCCGTGAGGCTAGAGCAGAGCCGGGCTGGAGCTACTGGTGGTGGTGTCAGGCTACGTGTTTCAGGAGCCTCCTTGTGCTCTGTGGCAGCCATTAGAGCAGGAAAAGTAAAGCGCTAGCACCTTAAGACCTTAGAGGAGTCTCCTCAGTCCATTCATTTCAACCAGGGGAAAACTTGGCCCCAACGAAAAGCCTTGTACCGAGCCACCTAGCAAGGGAGTGGTAGGTGGAGGGAAAAGCCCAAGTCTTTTGGTTCCCAAGGTCCCAAGCTAGGGACTGTCTCTGCCTTGCTGCCCCATAACCTGTCTTCCATGTGTCCAGGTTACCTGTGAGGATAGGGGCTGTGGAGGTTGAATGTGGAGGTGACACTCAGGGGAGCTTAGTCTCTGGATCTTCTGAAATTGGTTGAAAGTGGCAGAAGGGGTGGGTAAAGCATGCTAGTGCCCCAGCCAAAAATATAGTCAGGCCATTTCTGTGCTTTCTATGGGCTCCCTGCTGCCCACCAATTAAAGGCTAGACCCTCTCTGGCTCCAACTTCTTTCTCTCCTCCTGCTGTTGAATCTATATCCCCAGCCACCCAGCTTCCCTGGGCCCAGCGTGTGGCCACCATGCTGGAACCTCACTGTTCCTCTGCCCAATAGCCTTTCTGTCTCCTCTGTCTAGTTCTTCTCATCTTCTATTGTTTGACTCCGATTCCAGCCTGCCAGTGAATGTTCCCCCAAGAGACCTGGGCTTTTCCCTCCACCTACCACTCTCTTACTAGGTAGCTCAGGGCACGAGGCTTTTCATTGGGACCAAGTTTTCCCCTGGTTGAAAAGAATGGATTGAGGAAAATTCTCTAAGGTCTTAAGGTGCTAGCGCTTTACTTTTCCTGCTCCAATGACTGCCACAGAGCACATGGAGCCTCCTGAAACACCACCACCAGTAGCTCCAGCTCGGCTCTACTCTGGTCTCACATAGAGGCCAGGGACAACAGGGGTCTCCAGGGAGGCCAGCCCTGAGAAACCAAGTTACTCACAGATTCCCACCCAGCCCACTACAGCTGTAGAGAAGGAAGGAGCAGAGGTACATTTTTCAGTGATGGGTTTTGGCCACTGCGTGGAAGTGGGTACAGCTGGAGGGTGCTGCAGGAAAGGCTCTGGGCGCAGATGAAGCAGAAAGAGAGAAGGATGGCGGTGGGGGGTGGGGCAAGAAGAATCAGTTGTCTTGTCTGTGTTCCTACAGCATGTGCCTACCCTGTTAGCAGAGCATGGGTGTCCTGGAGTTGTTACTGATATAGTTGCTTTTCTTGTTGGGGTGTGAACTCCATGAGACCAGGCACCTGGTCTCTCTGGTTTGTGGCTGTGAATCTCGCACAGAGTCTGGCATCAATTACATGCTCAAAAGATGGTTTTAGATGAATGTACAGACAAATGGATGACTGATAGATGGATAGATGGTTGACTGGCTGGGCAGAATTGATGGATAGATGGCTGGCTGGCTAGCTGGCTGGCTGGCTGGCTGGCTGGATGGATGGATGGATGGATGGGTAGATGAGTGGTTGAATGGTGGATAAATGAATGAGTGGATGGATGAATTTACATATGGATGGTGGATGATTGGTTACATGGTAGATGGATGGATGGATGAATGGATGGATGGATGGATGGATAGATAGGTGGATGGATGGATGGATGGATGGATGGATGGATGGATGGATGGATGGATGAACAGATGGATGGATGGATAGATAGGTGGATGGATGGATGGATGGATGGACGGATAGATAGGTGGATAGATGGATGGATGGATGGATGGATGGATGAACAGATGGATGGATGGATAGATAGGTGGATGGATGGATGGATGGATGGATGGATGGATGGTTGGATAAAGAAATGGATGGATGGCTAGGTAAAACAAGTGAATAAATAGTACCAGTTCAGGAAAGGTCTAAAAGTGAGAGCACTTTGGTCCCCTTGTAATTGATTCCTTGGGGTGATGTTTTTTCAGATTACGTTAAAGTCATCCTGGATTATAACACCGCCCACAGCAAGGTGGCTCTGTTGGAAAACTATACCACAGCTTCTGTGGCTGACACACCTCAGAGTTACCGGCCGCATCCCCAGAGGTTCACATCCTGCTCTCAGGTGCTGGGCCTGCACTGCTACAAGAAAGGGATCCACTACTGGGAGGTGGAGATGCAGAAGAACAACTTCTGTGGGGTGGGTATCTGCTATGGCAGCATGAGTCGCCAAGGCCCTGAGAGCAGGTTGGGCCGCAACAGCTCCTCCTGGTGCGTGGAGTGGTTCAACACCAAGATCTCTGCCTGGCACAACAATGTGGAGAAAACCCTGCCCTCCACCAAGGCCACGCGGGTTGGTGTGCTTCTCAACTGTGACCACGGCTTCGTCATCTTCTTCGCTGTTGCTGACAAGGTCCACCTGATGTATAAGTACAAGGTGGACTTTACGGAAGCTCTGTACCCAGCCTTCTGGGTGTTCTCTGCTGGTGCCACACTCTCTGTCTGTTCCCCCAAGTAGGCAGGCCATTGACAGGTCTGGTTGGGCTGACTACCGAGGACTCAAGACTCTATTGAAATTGCTGCAGGTAGTACTTTCCTCGGAAGACTTCCTCGAAGGTCCCCAGGGGTTAGAAGGATGGGAGGGGAGTGGAGTGGGTGGGGGGAGGGGGAGGGGAGATTTGACCAGGGAAAGGGGTGGGGTGACTGTGTTGTGGGCAAGGAAACATTTTCATCTCTTGGTGCCTCTCGGGGCAGGGTGATTTCCTCCCTGCTGTTCTGGGAAATCTCCAGGCTGCTGGGCAACTGGGCAGGGCTCTGGGAAGTGAAGTCACGAGCCCCTTTCCTCCTAGAGAAAATCTGTAGCCACCATAGGTTTTTTTTTGGGGGGGCCACTTGGTATATCCATGCCCCTTTGCTCTCTGGACTGGCCTTCAGAACTTAGTGTTTTGATACTTTCTACGGATGTTTTTAAAATCCCAGAGTCATTGAATTTCAACATTATACGCCCCCCGCTCCCTACATGTTGGGGCTTGATCTCCTGGATATTATCTGTGTTTGAGGAAATCACCCACAGCAGGTCCCCACCCAGACCAGAGTTTCCTGAAGAAGCGTGTCCTCTTCCTCCACTGGAAAATAGCACCTCTCCCGTCCCACCCTGCTCACCCCATCACCCCCTTGATGTCTTTAAAATGTTTCTTAGAATAGGAACCTTTTAAGCCAAGGCTTCAAACCATGCTCAGAATGAGCCTGTGTTGAATTTTTGATTCAAGGTCAAGGTGACCCAGGTCCAGTCAGTGGAAATGCTTCCCATTCCTGAAGGTCAGGAGAGGCATCTTGGCAGAGATGCTTTGGTTGTGATTGTGAGCTTTGCTGGAGGCCTTGCTTCCCGTAGCTTTGGTTGGTGTCAAGGAATTCTGTTGGGTGAGAAGATCTTGCCCTGGGTCAGCGGAAACAGGGTGATAGTCTTACTCGTGAGAGTGTCTTGACTTCTTACTGACAACTCTCCTTACTGATGGCCTCCCTGTCCCCTGGATTGTGAGACATCAGATGGCCGTGTAGGGTACCACTGTGGCTGGCACAGTCAAGCAACCAGCCAAGCAGGATATCCAAAGCCTGCTATCATGTAGACAGGCTACGTGTGGCTGCCTCAGGGACCATAGTAGTCTACCTGCTGGGGTGATTAACTATGGCCAGAAGGGTTTTTTTAGTAAACCCCATAGGAAGCTGCAACATTCCTGTCATCCCAGGCCACAGGCTGCAGACTCAGTGCTGACCCTTGCCTGAGTCAGAACCTGGGGCTGGCTCTAGCCCCTTCTGCTGTCTTTCTGTTTGAGCCAATTCCAGATGCTCGCCTTGACCATGTAAGGAACGAGCTAACGAGGGTCAGACAAGTGGCTATTTTCCCTGCAGTGTTTCTATGCACTGAAAAATAGCCCGGTCCACCAGGTGTGAACTGATTGGTGGACTTTCCCCAAGCTCCTTGTAGCTTGATGGTGTCAGGATGTCAGTGTAAGAAATCTAACTCTTGCAGTGAAATGAGTCCAGCTCTGGGCTTTGCCAAGAGGAGAGCTTCTGCCAGGCTTCTTACAATATGAAAAGAGGTCACTATTGGGGAAGTGAGGACCCCAGACCTTTTCATATGGATATTTGACTGAATGCATCTCAAGCCTTGTGCTGGAATTCCAGGGCACTCTAGGCAGGCTCAGGTCCCTTTATATCCTGATAGATACACACCTGACACACAGGTACATACCTGATCTGTGTCATCTTCCAACCAGGATTGTCAGTTCCTTGGGAGAGAGATAATCTTTGTAGGAAAGATGTCCCTGCAATGGGTGACATGTGGTCTTTAAAAGTTTCCTTCCTTTGCTTCTTGGAAGAATAGTTCTTTGGTGATTCTCCTCTGCTTTGGAAGATGATCAAAAGCATTTTTTTTCACTGATTTTCTTAAAGAAAAGCCTTGTCTGAAGCCAGTTTATACTTGGGAGACAGCTGGGCTTAGAGGAATAGAATGCCAAAGATGAATCCATGGCTCCTGCTGTGGCTCTCCTCTGCAGAAATAGGGCAACAGAGAGGACTTTTCCCTGACAAGTGTGCAGCTTGAGACAGGGAGGCAAGAGTCCCTCTGTTTGTAAGACAGTCAACTACTGAGCTCTGTGCAAGGTGCTTTGGAGTTGTAACTTGAGTGCACCCTTGCTGCTTCAAACCATTCTGCAATGGTAAGACCTTGCACAGCCTCCTTGCCGGGCTGCCACACCACCCTGGAGTCCTAGAGTGGGAGGAACCTTTGTATCCATTTAACTTCTCATTTTGCGGAATAAGATGGGAAGGTAGAGGATCACTCTGTTCACCACACTTGCCATTCTGTCGGGGAGGAGATGCATTCTAGATGTATGAGGAGAAAACCCTGGTATCTTGGGGAAGTATCAGAAATTCCCGGAAACCCAGACGTAATATACTGCTCTAACCCCCAGGTACTGGGAACTGTCTCAGTCACCGTGGCATAAGTCACAGGTTAGGGTCAAGTCTTTGTATTATTTAAGATGAGATAACTGATTATTCCTGTTTTAATTACTCTGAAATCAGTCTGCGATCTATAATACTAATACATTATTTTTACCTTATTTTCCCTCTTGCTGTTGATTTTAATGAAATAGGAGTATTTGAGCTGTCATTTCCTGAGCCTTAATTTTCTAAGAGTTGATTCTTTAAGGAGATAATCATGTCTATAGACAGGGCCAAGGCCGGCTGATGTGCTCCCAAAGCTTTGAATGCAGTAAAGCAGTGTCTGGCATTCTTTCCTGCATCGCAGTTCAGGGAGAACATGTTACTTTTTTGTCAAGCTATGGTCAACAGATGAGGTGTCCACTGCAGAAGGCTATGCCCAGGGACCCCTGGTTGCCCAAGCCCCACTCAGTTGCTCCCAGGGGTTGAGATTTCAGCAGACTTATAGCACATTTAGGCTTGCCATGGGTACGGCACCCAAATTTTTGATAAATAATCCTCAGACAGATCGGATGCCTGTGGACTTTGCTTAAAGATAATCCAAACATGGCAGATAGGCCAAAGGGGCTGGACCATTGATGAAAGAGTAAGCCACACACGGATAATCAGTGAGTAGGGGTGGGGATGTGAGGAATCATGATATTATTCTTCCTACTGTTACATATATTTGAACATTTCTATAGTAAAAAGTTACAAGTTAAAAGCCAGCCCAGGCCAGCGATGGGTCCTGTTCAGCTGGTCTTATCCTTGTTTAAATTAGGATAGGAGTTGCAGGAGGTGTGGATTGAAGGTTGACATATAATAACGAATTTGACTGCCCTCCATCCCTGGCTCCTGATGAGTACAGGGAGACTTTTAAATCCTTGAAATTTCCCAAGTAATAGGAGCATCTTCGTTATTCATGAGACCATTGGATTACACCAGAGTTTATACTAAGAGGTGAGATGACTCAGAATTAGAGCTGGTCACCAGAAGGTGACAAGAGGGTTGAGGCTTTCAGTCAGCCTGACCCACGGGGAGAGGGGCTGGAGATGGATTTAATCCTGTGGTCAGTGATTCAATCAGTACATAATGAAACTTCAATAAAAACTTTGGACACTAAAGCTTAGTGTGGCTTTCTGGTTGGTGAACACATACATGAGATAAGAGAGTAGCGTGCTGTAATTCCAAGACCCTTCCATATCTTGCCCCATGACTATTCATTTGGTCCTCATTTGCGTCCTTTATAATAAAACTGTAATCATAAGCATAGTGCTGTCCTGAGTTCTGTGATTTTTAGTGAGTTATTGAACCCAAGGGAGGTCATGGTAACTTCCTGGATTTGCAGTCAATTGATCAGAGGTATGAGTGACGTGGGGCCAGCCTCTGAAGTGAGGGCAGCCCTGCAGGGGACTGTGTCTCTTAACCTGTGATGTCTGATTGAACTGTGGGTGGTTAGCATCAGATTGGATTGCAGGATACCAGATTGTGTCAGAACAGAGGTCATGGGACCTGCGAACTTTGAATAAGTGCTTATTGATGCACCCGTCAGAATAAAACACATGTTCTTAAAAGGAGCTTCTCATGTTTCTTCTCTCCTGTGTGAAGCCCCCTTGGTTTAACATTCTGGGGTTTGTCTTCTCTCATACCCACCCTTCTTGCAGATTCCTTTCTTCCTCACTGTCATTGTAACCACAAAAATCATATATCAGTTAATTGCCTGCCCATTCAAAGATGACTCTTCAATTGTCATGGATACTCTCTGGTTTCAATACAAAGTTCAGGATCGCAATTTGTGACTTCTCAGTAAAGTAAAGCCAAGCTGGGTGGCGGGGGAGAGAAAATGCCAAGGGGTGGTTTTTAAGTCACTTGGTCGTCACTTGGTTGGCTGCTGTGACCAAGTCTCTTGCTCTTGGGTCTCACACCTGTTTTCTCTCACCCATTCCCAGACAGTCTTGAAATACCATAACATCATGAATAATGGATGGATTCCCAACTATTATTGATGGTGAAGTGGCATTCTACCTGCATTTTATTGTGGATCAATTCCAATACACAGAATATAGGAAGGCTCTAAAAAAGTAGGTATAAGAGTGAAGGAAAAGAGAAGGGATACAGTTAGCAAGCCTAGTTGAAACAGGCCAATTTGGAATCAATGCTCAAAAGAATAAAGTAGGATTCCTTTGCTGAAGTCCAATGACTTCTGCCAACAGCTGTGTGGAGTATGGTATCCTGAAAGTTCAACCTTCAGGCCCTCCTCCAATAAGTCTACAGTCCTGTGATGCTGGCAAGTTACGGTGCTTACTTCTCAAAAGTAATGATACCTCAATGTTATGACATCACTGAATGAGACACACTAGGTACCAAAACTAAATTGTCTTCCAGGAAACCCGTCCCTGATATCAAAAACGTTGGAGACCTCTGCTCTAGATCTTAGTCTAGCTGTTCTGTCCCGGATCCACCCCCTAATTTTCCTGTCAAGAGAGAGCCCCATCTTCAATCTTGTAGAGGACATTTCCATCCCCCGCAGGAAGTCCTCACTACCCACCCACAGGCACTGATTTTCCTGGGGAATTAGTTCTCTCTGCCCCTCTGCCCCCATCGCTGACTCCCACCCTGAGAGCAACTCATC